TGGGGCTGTAACCTCAGCTGTGGGTCTGTTTAAAAATGTATGAATATCAGCCTGACCTTGGGCAGGGCTCAGGCCCGGTGCTCCCCCCAGCAGCCCCTCGTCCCCCGCCGGCGGGAGGAGATGATGCTCTCAGCTGCGACACGGCACGGGGATAACCCCAATGCCTGCCTTCCTGTGCCGGGGAGTGGGATTTCCACGGATGGGGCCTCCCCACTCCCATTTGGACACCTGAAGTCTGCAGAGGGGACCCCAGGACCAAGGGTTGGGCTGTTGGACCCCCCAGGGATGCTGCCGGTCCCCTGCGCAGGTGTGTGAAGGATTCCCCACCCCTTGCACTGATGAGCCAAAAACAACCCCAGTGCCAATGTCAGTTTAGGAAAGGACCTTTCCTCCTGCCAGGTAACCTGGAGCTGGGAAGGATGGGGGGGACAGAAAAAGGAAATGTCCCCTCTCTGCTCCCCAGGACGCTGTCCGGAGTCTCTGGTCTGGGAGCACCTCGCTGGGCTCTCATTAGCATGGAAATAATTCAAGGGATGCATGCAAGGCAGCTGGAAAAGCATTTTATCTGTTGTGCCGGAGCAAACTCTTTTTGCAGTGCAGCGTTCGAAGGACGGCACCACTGCAGGCAGCTGGCACGGCAGATAGATATGTTAAATGCAGATAGGCAGAGTAAATATTCACTATAAGCCATCGCTGTGCCCCAGCAGGCAAGGAATGGAGAGAGGGCTTGGTTGGGTTTTTTTCGATCTTTCAACAAATATGTTTGGGACCAATAGATATCAGCTTGGGTTTGGCAGGGAATCCTCGTCAGTTTTATTCAATAGCATATATCTTGCAAAAGAATTAATAACGCTTTTGGCTGCCTCAGTGCACAGCTCTCCCCATAGTAGCTGTTTGCCGTGCAGGACAGATTTGCCGCAAATAGAGCCCAAACCCCAGCAGTTAATTTGCTGCATGCAGTGTCTTGTTGCTCCAAGTGCGAGCGATGGCTTGAAAAGCTCTTTCCCCCCCCCAACCCTCAGAGCTTCCCACCCAGAGCCGCAGACCCCAGCACTTTCTCCTCTAGGCTTCTCCTCACACGGTTTTTGCGTTTCCCGGCCCTGCTCCGGGTGATGCCAGCTCCCTGCGTCCGCACCGCTCACCCGGGACATGCCCGGCACCGAGGAGTTGTGGGGGGCTTCCAGAAACGTCCCGCTCTTTGATCTATAATTTAAATACCATTTTGTTTTGCCTTGGTCGTTTTAACCAGCAATTTGCTATAGCAAAAGAACACAATACCCCTGTAGGAAGGAAGAAATAAACTCATTCTTTCAATTAAATTTCTCCTGACCTCACTAAAACTTTTTCCCCATTCCCTCTTCTAAAGACTCAGCTTTTCTTTTTTTTATCTTTTTTTTTTATTTTTGTGATCTCCAATTCCACCGAGAGACAGAAGAAATCAGCATATCAGAGAAAACAACGATTCTTGTGATGCCCAGCAGTCACTAATTAACAAATTAAAAAGAAAAAAAAAAAAAAAAAAGAAATCTTTCTGCAGATAGGATTGTTTTCTGGCGATGTTGCCTTTTCTTTTGTCGGTGCTGTGACAAGGAACTTCTTTATTGCTGCAGATAGATCAGATTAAACCTCCCTCTCACGCCGTTCGCCTAGTTGGATGGGTTTGTGTGGCTCATTGGTTTGGCCCCCAAACAAAACGCCTTGCCCCCACTTTTTGCCCCCTGTGGTGGGTTCCTTCAGAGACGTGCACAGATGTGCAAATTGCAAGAGAGTGTTTAAGCCATCGCGTCCTTTTAATGAGCAGGAGCATCCCTGGAGGTTGGGGGTTCGGGGGGGGGCCGAGTTCACCTGGGTGGACTCAGTGGAACATCTGGAGAACATCTGTGGTCCCACCAGATGGTCCAGCTCCCCCCTGAAGTCCACGGCCCACCTCCCCACGCAGCCGAGCCGCGGCTCAGCCCGTCCCTCCCGCGGTTCAGCCCGCAGCCTGCCCTCCTCCCCACCGTCTTCCCAGGCTCCTTCTCCAACTTTCAGGATCGTTTCGGCCTCTCCCCATCCCAAGCGCTCGTAGCCCTGCGTGGGGACGGCACCCAAAGCAGAGGCTCCGTTGGGAGCTGCTGCCGGCCACTGACCGAAGGTGGCACCCGCAGGTCTCCAACCTTATTTTGGTTCATGGTCCCCAAGGGTGAGGAGCAAAATAGGACCCCAAACCCATCCCCCGGGGCTCAGCGCTGGGGTCCCGGCCTTGCGACCAGCCCTTGGGGGCTCTGCTGGAGCGAAGCAGAAGGGCAGGATGGTTCCCTGCGCTTTTGGAGCGAGCCAGATGTTGGGATTTGCCCGAGGCAGCGGGGAAACCCCCTTTGGCAGGCCGGCGTCCTTCCGAGGGCTCTGAGAAGTGTCGCCCTGCGGCGGATTTGCAGTGGCGACGAGTCGGACACGCGTTGGGTTTGCTTAATTCCCCAAATACCAACACCATCATGTTTCTCCAACCAGTCCGTAAATGTTCCCCTGGTGCTGCTGGCCCCCCCCCCGGACGCCCCGTGGGGCCGGGAGCGTGGGGCTGGCCCCGGGGAGGGCAGGTTTGGGGAGCAACGATGAGCACAAGCCTGAGCTGAGCGCAGCCACGGGCAGCGCTGCCTGAAACCTCTGCCCGCTGCAGCGGGCACCAGGGGCCACAGCCCCCCCGGGCACAGAGCAGGGTGACGCAGCTGGATGCTGCATCAAAATACACTTTTCTTTCTCTTTTTTCTTTTTGTTTTTTTTTTTTTTTTTTTTAAATGGCACCGGTTTTCCCCAGTGAGGGGCTGTGGGTTTTGGCTGCCAGCGTGCCGTGGAGTGATGGAGAGCCGCGGCAAGAGCGGGGCAGAGCCCTGCCCCGAAACCTGCCCGGCCCCTGCAGGCAGCTCCCCCGTGTTCGGCCACTGCGTTCGGGAGACCTAATTAAATTAATTTCGGTGGATTATTTTTTGGGGGGGCCTGGCTTAATTAGCCAAAACATGCCCTGATTTCTTTCTTCGGAGTAAGATCTTCCATTTAATTATTCGGCAAGTGTGTTTTCCCTCACCACGCGTGCTCCCAGGGACAGCCGATGCCGGGTGCAAATCTGGGGCTGGACCCACCCTGCCCGGAGGAGCCCCCGTCCCATCAAACCCTTCATCCCCACTGGGGTTTTACTGGGACCCTGCGCAGCCCCCAGCCTGCTGCCACCAGTGCAATGAGTTTGCCAGGCCTGATGACACGAGGAGGGATGCAGGGGGTGCCTGCGTGGGGCTCGGCCGTGCCATAAAGCCCCTTCACCGCTCCTCCAGAAACTGGAAAAAAGTGTTTTCTCTTAAAATGTTTTCTTCTCCCTGTGGCCCTGGAGCGGTAATAAATCATCACTTATTTAAAACAAAATCCAGCTAATGGAGCAGCTGCATAATGTGTGCTTCAAAGGGAAAAAAAATGTCAGCAGTTTCCAAACTTTAGAGGTTAAAACGCTGTCAAGTTATTTTTAATAGTTTTTCATTTGTTTTAATTTGCCGCTCCTTAATATGCGGCAGAGAACTCGGAAAATAATCATTTCCTCCTCGCGGGTCGGCTTCCCGGCGGGCACACGCAGCCCTGGCCCCCGGGGCCCGGGCAGGGCTGGCCGGGGGCGGCGGCAGCGCCGGGGGGGCAGCCGGGACCTCCCGGCACCCCAGCGCCTGGCCCTGCTGAGGGGAGCCCCGAGCGGGCAGGCCGGGCTGGGCCGTGCCAAGCCAGGCCGTGCCGTGCCGTGCCGTGCCGAGCAAGGCTGTGCGGTGCCAGGCTGGGCAGTGCCAAGCCAGGCCGTGCCGTGCCGTGCCGTGTCAGGCCATGGGTCGTGCGAATGTGTGCCAAGCTGTGCCGTGCCGTGCCAAGCCATGGCTAACGGGCCATGCCAAGCCAGGCCATGCTGTGCTGAGCAGGGCTGTGCCAGGGATGCTGAACTGTGCCATGCTGAGCCAAGCTGAACTACGCAAGGAAAGACTGTGCCAAGCTGTGCTGTGCTGTGCCATGCAAGGCCAGGCCATGCCAAGCCATGCCGCGCCAACCTGAGCTGTGCAGGGCCAGGCTGTCCCAAGCTGTGCTATGCCATGCCAAGCCATGCTGTGCCAAGCCATGCCATGCTGGGCTAAACCGAGCCATGCAGGGCAGGGCAAGGCTTTGCTGAGCTGTGCCGTGCCATGCCAAGTCATACCATACCGAGCCAAGCTCTGCCGAGCTGAGCTGTACGGGGCAAGGCAGTGCTGAGCTGTGCTGCGCCATGCCACGCCAAACCAAACCATGCCAAGCCAAGCCATGCAGGGCAAGGCTGTGCCATGCCGTGGCAAGACGTGCCACGCCACGCCACGCCACGCCACGGCGAGCCAAGCTGTGCCAAACCATGCCGTGCCGCGCTGAGCCGCGCGGAGCCAGGCTATGCCATGCCACGCTGCGCCATGCTGAGCGAGGCAGTGCTGCGCTGTGCCGTGCCGGACCAGGCCATGCCAAGCCGAACCTCGCCAAGGCCGTGCCAAAGCGTGCTGTGCCGTGCCAACCCGCACCACGCCGAAGCACGCAGGGACCGCGCCGTGCCAAACCAGCCGTGCCAGCACCAACAGGTGGCGGCAGGTCCCCACTGCACCCCCCGGGACCCCCCAGCAGCCAACTGAGCCACCGGAACGGCTCGGCGCGGCCCCGGCGCGGCGTGAAAGGATTTAACGCAGCTCCTGTGTGTGTGTCTCCCCCCCCCCCCCCCGTCCCCCCCCCCCGTCCGGTTATCGGGCTGGTTAATCCCGTATGTAAATGGCAGCCAATGGATGGTGCCGTTGCGCGGGGTTGGGATTAGCGGCGGGGCGAATGGCTGGCACTTTTACTGGGATTACAGAACAAAGAGCTGCTCTCCCTTCCCAGTTTGGGGTGGTGTGTTTTGTGGTGTTTTGGTTTTTTGTTTTTTTTTTTTTTTTTTTTTCTTCCCCACCCCCCCCCCCCCCTTCCCCTTCCCCTTCCCTCCTCCCTTCCTTCCCCCCCCCCCCCCCCCTTTCCCCTTTCTCTCCTTTAAGCCCCCACCGGGCAGCACCGGCTCCGCCCGGGGAGGAGGGCAGCGGCGGGAGCGGCGGGAGGCGGCTCCATCCCGGCCCCCGCCCGCCCGCCCCCGCCGCTCCCGCGCAGCCTCGCCGGGGGAGGCAGGAGCGCCGCGCCCGAGCCGCCCGCGGTAAGGAAAAGTTTTGGCCCCCCCCTCCTCACCGTTCCCCCCCCCCAACCCCCGTCCCGGGCTTGGCAGCGGCGGGGGGGGGGGGGGGGACGCGGCCGGTTGGGGGATGCTAGGTGAGATGGGGCTGGGAGGGGGGGTGGGGGTAAGGTTTGGGGGAGTGCAGGGGGGCAACAGGATGGGGCGGGGGGGGGGGGGGGATGATGCTGGGCTCGTCAGAGCGCAGGAGTAGGTTAGGGCTGGGGGGATGCTGGGGGGGATAGGGCTGGGGGATGTAGGGGGGCGTTAGGGCTGCTGGAGGGTGATAGGGTGGCGGGGGTGGGGGGAGGTGTGAAGGCTTGGGGGGGGGGGCAACAGGGCTGGGGGGAGATGCTGGGTTCATTGGGGCGCAGGGGGGCATTAGGGTTTGAGGGGTGCCGGGGGGTGGCAGGACTGAGGGATGCTGGAGGGCACTAGGAGCCAGGGGGGGAGCGCTGGGCTCCTCAGGGCTGGGAGAGTGCAGGGGGGGCAACAGGGATACTGGGAGGATAGTGCTGGGGGGTGCAGGGGAGCGATAGGGCCGGGGGGGGGGGGGGCAATAGGGCTGGGGGCTGCTGGGTGGGTATGAGGGCTGAGAGGGATGTTGGGGGGCTGTAGGGCTCGGGGGAGATGCTGAGGCTATTAGGGCTGGGAGGGGTGTTGAGCTAATTGGGGCTGGCGGGGGGGGGTGGGGGGGGAATGCCGGGGCCGATGATGGGGTTGGTGGGGTCCATGGGGGCTGTGGGGGGATGCCAGCAGGCACTAAGTCTGGGGGGTGGGGTGATAGCGCTGCAGGGGTGCTTGGGGTGATCAGGCAGCGGGATGCAGGGAGCAGTAGGGCTGGGGGGGGGGGTGGTGATGGTGCTGGGGGGGTGCTGGAGCAGCCGGGCCCACCACCGCAACGGTGCCCCGCATCCCTCGGGCAGCTCCAGGACCACCACCTGCCCCGGCTGCAGCCGGGGGCGCCGGGCAGGCGGGGAAGCTGCGAGCAGGGCTTTGCCGGGGCTCGCCTCCCTCTCCGCCGGCGCGGGGAAAGGCGGCAGCGCCGCTGGAAATAGAAACGCAGGGTTGAGCTGACGAAGCGCTCGGGGCTTCGGCTGGGCTGGTAACCCGGCCTCGGCACCGCGGCCCGTGGCGTGGAGGGACAGACATCCTCTGCGGCTCCCCGGCGCTGGCGGGGGCAAGCAGGGACGACCGTAATGGGGAGAAAGTTGCTCTCCAGGGAGCTGGTGCCCTTGTCCTTTCAGCGCGTGGGGCTGGCAGTGGGTTTATCCAGGATAAGCCGTAAATTGGAGCGATCCTATTAATGCGCCTTGCGCCAGAGCGAGCCTCGGACCCGGCGGTGCTGTGCAGGTAATCCCGGGCGTTCGCGGTGGGCGCCTGGGTGAGAACTCTTTGGGGAGGCGTTGGTGCCGCCGAGCACGGCTGCAGAGCCGTGGGGCTGGGTGTCGCGGGCGCTCCGGGTTCGGTTGGTCGCTCGGCCTCCTGCCGCATCTGTCGGCGTGCGAGCTCCGGACGTTGGAACCGCCTGGGGACATTGGCATGGAGCCTCGTGTGACGGGAGCCCCCGGCTTCGGGGTGTCTGCTCCCCGCGCCGCTCCCACTGGAGGAGCTGCTGGAAGTGCTGCAGCTGGGGGATAATCCCACGGACGCGAGCGACTTTAATTCCACAGGATCTCAGGTGTCCGGTCCCCACCGGCGTGTCTGGACCCGCTTACGTTGGCTGGGGTTTGTCCGAGCTCGCGGAATTTCCTACTGCTGTGGAAACTGCTGCAGCGCTCGCTCCGAAATGAGAAAGCGGTGTGGCGCCTGTGGGTGTCAGACCCGACCCCCCTCCCCTCCCCTCCCCGGGCTGGGGTGCCAAAGGCCACGTCCCACGAGCCCTGGCCCAGCAGCGGGTGCCGCGGTCGAGGCGATATCGGGGTCGCCTTCAAGCCGCGGCAGCACAGGGTGGCTCTGTGGTCACCCGTGGGTCCCCCGCTCCTCTCCTTTCCCCCCCCCCAGTGACTGCCGGGGTGGCGGTGACCGCCGGGGATGGGGTACCCCGGTTTGGGGCTGTGCCGCTGGTTTTCCCGTGCACCGCTGCTGTCTGAGCCGGTGTTGCCTCTCAAGGCCGCGTTTTTGGGGTGACCCCAGCCCGGGATGTGCTGCCTCATGGTGCGGGCAGGGGAAGGGGTCAGGCAGCTGCCCTCACGGGGGGCTTGCAGGAGCCGGGGGGGGGGGTGACGCAGGGAACACGTGTTGGTGGCCACCGCCACCTCCCTCTGCTGTCCCTCCCAGGAGAGCTTTCACATCTCGGCGGAGGAGCTGCTGGTGCTGCCGCGGGTCGCTGCTCGTTTAGGTTTGCTAATGAGAAGCTGGGAGAGGAGGGAAGGAACCTGCTCAGGGACGTATTTAGCAACCTGCCCTACCAGCCCGGGTGAGAGACGCGGTGCCCTCGCTGGCAGCCTGGCGTGGCGCCGGCAGGTGTCCGGTGGGACCTTGCGTGGGGCAGGAGGCGACAAGGAGGGTGGCCTTTGGGGCCAGCATGGAGGGGACAGGTCTGTCTGTCCTGCATGATGTGCATCACATATGACTTGTGCGATGCTCTGCTTAGAGGAAGGAGGGAAAAAAAAAAAAAAACAAACCCAAAACCCCCAAATTCCAGACCAAAACAAGCGACCTCTCACTGCTGGAGCTAATGGGGGATTCCCATCTGCTGCTCCCGCAGGAAATAGCTCAGATTTTTTTCGGCAATTATCAATGCCCTGTACTTCCTTTGGGAATTTCGGCGGCTGCACCCCAGCAGCCAGGCTGGAGGAATGCGGAGGGACTCTCTTCGGTCGCCGGCCAGGCTCGTCCCCGGCCGGTCACCCGCTGCGGGGCTGACCCCTGGGGTGGGCGCAGGGCTCGGTGCTGGCCGTCCCCAGTTTGGGCAGCAGTGCCCTGCCCTGCCCTGCCCTGCCCTGCCCTGCCCCTCGGCCGACAGGCGCGGTTATTCCTTGCGCTGCCGGCATCCATTTGCAGATGCCTGTGGCGGGTGGACGTGGCGGTGGCTCATCACGGGAGAAGAGGTGTGGATGGGGACTGCTGCTCCCAGGGTGCCTGGGCTTGGGTGTAGGTGGTGGGTGATGGTTTGGGGAAGGGGGATGAGGGGGCGAGGGGCTGTGATGGTGTCTGTGCTCGGCTCCTGGCCCTCTGGCCGTGTCTGCCTGTGTTGCACCTCGTGGGCAGTGGCGAACCTCCTCTGGGGCTTTGAGGGGAGCAGAGGCAGATGCTGAAGGCACGTGGGGCAGGCTTGCCACCACCAGAAGCCTTCCTCTTGGGGACAGGGAGAAAGAGAGGAAAGGAAAGGACCTACTGGGAGCCCCTTCCGAGGATGGAGATATCCATCCAGGAGCTAAAAATGTATTTATTGATTCATTTATTGGGAAGAGCCCAGCTGGAAGCCGTAGGGAAGGGCATCTGGTGTCCATCTGGATGCTGGCCAGAGCGGCGGGGCTGGGGGCAGACAGCAGCCCTGGCCAGAGGTTTGCCAGGGAGGTGGTGGGTCTTTGCAAACTGGAGCGAGGTTTCCCAGGACCTTGCTCTGCCCTGTTGCAGCCTGTCCCTTCACAGAACATGTTTTATTTACATCTCTTGAAGCACTGTTTTTAAGAAGAGGTCAGGAGCCCTCGACCTGGTCAGAAGCTGTGGGAGGCTTGGGGTTGCGTGGCAGCCAGGGTCTGGGTGGACTTCATGGATTGGGGGTTTGGGGTTTTTTTTGCTCGCCAGTTCAATGCTTCATGTCTTGGTGCAGCCCCGTTCGTTGAGTTTGCTTCGAGCCCAAGAGAAAAATATCAAATGAGTCCAGGTGGGCGCTCGGCCCTGCGGTGTGGTGCCCCTGTGGTGGGGGTGGAGTAATGGGCTGGGGTGGGGGATGCTGCCAGAGAAATCCCCCAAAGCGGCTGCGGCACGACTGTCGTGGGAATACCCCTGTGTCTCGTCCTAGTTCGGGAGCTGCTGCCAAACGCCGCCTTGCAAACTTTGGCAGTGACTTCTGAGGGGCTTACCTACGGCGGCAGCAAGGCTTTCCCATAGGTGGGGTGCTAGGAGGAAAAGCACTCGGTGCACGAATCCCCTCCTCGAGAGCAGGCTGTGCCGAGGTGGGATTTGCATTCCTGCACGCAAACAGCTTCTCTTTGAGTTTTCTGGCTTCAAGTTGCCTTGTCTCTGCTCCGTGCTGGTCTGGCTGGTTTAAGAAGAGAATTAACCTCAGCGGGATGAGCAGGGGACCAGTGGGGAGCATCGCTCTGCTGCCGCACATCTGCGCGGATGTCCTCGTCCTTGACCAGGGCTTCCTCCCTCAGAGCTGATCTCCACCTCTCGGGTGTCTCTCTCCATTTTCTTTAAATCTGCAACGTCAAGAGGAGCAAACACGGGAGGGGAGGTTGGTGTGGGCCCAGGAAGAGTCCTGGAAATATCTCATCCAGTGTCCGCCTGCATACCTGGGACCTCTGCCCCAGAAGATTGAAGGGGACAAACCCAGATGTCCCCTGCCCATGGGGGACATCCCCTATGGGGACTGCTGGGGTCTGGCTGCACCCCTGAGCCATCCAAGTAGGTGCGAGTGGGTGGGCACCACAGACCTGCTGCTGATCTGCTCCTGGAGCCTGTGGGTTCCCTGGGAATTCGGAGGGTGCTTTGGGGTGCAGATCCCTCTGGAGAAATGCCAGAAGGAAAGCTGGTAGGCAGGGTGTTTTGAAACCTTTTTTTTTATTTATTTTTTGGAGAATTTCTTGCACTTCTTGGCGATCTGTGCGGGTGCTGGTTGCTGCCCAGGGGTTGTGTGTTCTGCTTGGCTGGGATGTTCCTGGAGGAGAAACCTCCCCCTGTAATGGGTGGACAGAGGTTGGAGGGATTTGCACGCTTCCGAGAGAAACACGTGGTGCCCAGGCTCTGATAACCAGCAGCTTTATGCGGTAGTTTGAAGTCGGGCTGCAAAATCTCTTTACGTGAGAAAAGGC